CCCCCCCACCCCCCTCACAGAGCTGGGATAGATCAGTTCTAGCCAGAGTAATGAGTTACTGCAATCAGAGTTTGGCAGCAGGGCACAAAACCAGCCCCTAAGATTAAGCCAATGTCTGAGTCCAAGAGACCGTACCACGGCCGATGACCCCAGAGCTGAGCAGGGCGGGGTCATGCCCCCTCCACTGGGGCACAGGATCAGGAATCTGAGGATAAGCTGAGGGGCCCATGAGTAAAGCCTTCAAAATCCGCTGAGATCTGCTTTATAGCCGTGGTCCACTTTTGCAGATATGGATGCAGTTGCGGCTACACATTTCGTATCTCAAACCCTGCAACTTTGTGGCTCTGTTTGACGTCGGCAGGTGCCCCGTGCACAGCTAGAGATGTGGATCCCTGTGACTCTTTTTTGCAACTACAGCTGTGGCTGCGAGTACAAAATTGTGGATCCGCGCCGGGCTCTACCCATGAGCAAAACCAGGCAGAGCCGGCCTTCACCTTTGTTTTAGCTGCCTCTTCAGTTCCAGCGCAGTTCAGCTCAGAACTTCAGCCTTGGAAAGGGCACTGACTCATGGCTGTGTTGTGGTGCGGGAGTGCCTGGGCCTGCAGGGGCAGCACGAGCCAACCAGGGAACTAGTGAGGTCTAGTGGTTAGAGCAAGGCACTGGGCGCAAGACCCCTGGGTTCTATGCCCAGCCCCAGGATGCAGAGGCTGGTGTGTGCTGCCTATTCTCGGCATGAGTTCTGGAGGCAGCCGCCCACAGCTCTCAGGAATGGCCCCTGCTGAGGCGAGGCCTGGCTGGGCGCTGGGTGATCCTGGGCCCACGTGAGCAGCACTGAGAGCAGGTTGCCTGGTGTCTGGGTTTCGACCAGAATGCCCTGTTGAAAAGGACCCAGCAGGCTCCAATGAGCACTGCTGAGCAGAGTGTTAAAAGTCCGGCCACACAAAGTCCTACCTGCCCTGGCTCCACATGCCCCCCAGGAGCAGCCACGTGCCCCCTTCCCGTTCCTACACATCGGGGCAGCCAAGGGGTCCTGTCAAGTCACAGAGGCAGGGCCCAACAGGGTTGTGGATTCGCTTCAAGACAGAGTCGGTTAGGGACAGAGAGTTACTTTTATTGATCTCACTGTGTCACTGCTATTACAGGCTTAAGACTGCCACATGGTTACCCAGCTACTGCAAAGTAATATCCCAATCAGCAGAGGCAAAGCAATGCACAGGAGAGTAACAGGCACTTGGAAATGCTTCCGCCCGTTCAGGTCTGCAGGGAGTCCGGTTCCGGTCACCTCGCACGGGCCGCAGTGGGCGTGGCTCCAGCTAGGGGGATGCAGGGCACTCCTCGAGGTTTAGGTCCCTGGAGAGACTCACCAGACAGGAAACTCCCCGCACTAGTTACACTCCAATTGTTTACCGGGTGGGCACGAACCTGGCTCAGCGCCGTTCTTATCGCTCCTATGAGCTGAGACCGAGGTCAAACTTGTTACTGCTCAGTAGTGTCCCAGCTCCAGGCATGGCTTAAAACTGATAACGCCCAGCTGCTGTTCGGGCTTGCAGGATCCCAGGCTATGTTCAGGTGGGTACAGCAGGGATGGAAACTTCCATCCCAGGCCTGCTAAGATGCAGGACCCACATAGGACTTTTATGTGACAGCTCCGCACACTGTCCCCGCCCCATACCGCTCTGCAGCTCCCATTGGCTAGGAACCGTGGCCAATGGGAGCAGTGGGGGCGGTGCCTGCGGATGGGGCAGTGCACAGAGCTGTGTGTCCATGCCTCCACTTAGCAGCTGGAGGGGGACATGCTGCTGCTTCCAGGAGTCAAGTGAAGTAAGCGCCGCCCTGCTCCCTGTTGACCTGCTCCCGCCCTAATCTCCCTCCTGGCTCCCAACCCCTAGGTCAGGCATGTCCAAAGTCCGGCCCGCGGGCCAAATGCGGCCCGCGGTCGGAATTAATACAGCCCCCCGCTTCTCCTGGCTCCCCGGTGCTTTTTTTTAACTGGCGCGCGCAGCGCGCCACTTCGGGCCGCCGCCGCCGCCGCGGGC